ATGGTGTACTGTGGCTATAGATATAGTAATGTTGTGGTGTACTGTGGCTATAGATCCCTCCTCCCGCCCCTCATTAGGTTTCTAGAGTGCTATGGGATTTTCTGCAGGATTTCAGTTTCAAGATCTGCAGAACACTTTGTGACATCCTGGATTATTTTTTCTCATGGAGCAACAAGGCTATCTTTACTTTTTAAAAATGTAGCAGGAATTGGATGAATTGCTTACACACTGTCCTTTAACTCAGATTCTGAAACTCTACTTCCAGGCCAGATCTGCCTCACTGTATGTCCCCTTCTGGCCTGTGGGCTTATACAAAGCAGCCTTTCTGCCCCTCTAAAGCTCTACCCTTTGCATCTCCTCACTGATCAGCTGCCATTTCAAAGTCCTGGTCATATTTTGAAGTTGCTTTCCTGTCTAATTCTTCTTCCTTTTCCCAGTCCCTAGTGCTTTGCTTTTCCCTTAGTTTTCAACTAATGACTCCTAGGGCACAGCTGCTACAAAGCACTCTGGGCATTTTATAGTGGCTTCTCCTTGGTAGATAGATGATACTTCTGGATGGAGCTTTGAAAGGTGATGGATGGAGGCTTCAGGAAGGAGCTTTGGCATCACCTACTGATGTTATTCAGCTGCAGGAAGAGTTTGGGAAACAGTCAGACTTATTGCTAAACAAGGGCCCTTGTTTAGCAAATGTGCTAACAACCAAGGAGCTTATCACCTGGCAGAGGCTTGTGGTCTTATTATTTCTGGAGGCTTTGTTGGCTGGCATAAATCTCTGCAGACCTTGCGGTGGCAAGAGTATAAATAGCTACATCTCAAGTGTATTTTTTTTTAACTCCAAGATTTTCCTAAGCCTCTTCTTTCCATAAGGAAGCTTTAGAAAATGCACTGAAAACTCACACACAGGATTTCTGCACCTTATCCAGCTTGCTGTTGTCTGCTTTGTAGATCCACTCCTGCAGCCCATCTACTATGCCTCTTAAATTGTTAAGAGAACTTCGGGGAGTAGGTCTGTGAATGTTGGTTCTACTTTTCCCTTTGCTTTGGGGATTTAGAGTCAGACACTTGCTTGACACTTTGATGGATGAGGATCCTTACCTTTATAATTTCAGAAATGTATTTGTTATTGGCCTGAAACAGAAGCATCCTACGGACCATTTACAATTCAAGTCCAAGACATCTGTGAATGTGACGACTATACCATTCGTAGTTTTTCCCTGCAGGTATTAATTTCTTGTTGATGAAGCTGGAGAGCTCTGGCAAGATGATTTTTCTGCAGTTCCCTCCCCCCCTCCAAATTCTCTATGCAAATATCTCTCAAAACCTGATCCTTAAATTAAACTGCTTTGCATTTTCTCTACCTTTTGCTTATGAAGGAGTTTATTTTGAATTATTTTTCATGATTGTTGCTTTGAGATTTCTTATTTTTATTATATTTTTCTATTTTAAAAATTATTATTCATTTGGGATTTCTATTATTGTTGTCAGAAGGTAGATTTTAAAAAATAAAAATAAAACCTATAAAGTCTGTATCAAAATAAAGCAGTACAGAGTTTACTTGTTCACTGTTTCAGCCAATCAGCCACACATTTTCAAGAAAATCCACCCCAGGCCCACTGAAAATGACCAGTTCTCATTTGATGGTTCTTGGAGGGCTTTTTTTGGCCCCCCCCTAAATGTTTTTAAATACCTTTTTTCCTAATTTTATCCATGCCTTGATTTTTTTCCCCAGGTTCCCTTTGCCTCCTTCCTGTATGTGGATGGTGCCATTCTGGCTGTATAAGAAATTCCTTTCAGATACCTATTAGTGTATATGAATAGACTGTGCCACAATATGTTGCAGTCTGGAATATTTCTGTTTAATTCTCTACTTGTAGACAGAATATTCCCTTTCATTTTCCATCCCACTTACTTTTCATTCCATCTATAATCATCAATGACCATTTCATTGGGCATTTCCCCATCTCACTTAGTTGTCATTAGGCTACCGTGAAGAAGGGACGTGTTTTCCCCTCAGGATTTTTGTCTCCTTAAAGATGTTTGTATAGCTATAAGTTTGGGAGTTCCAATAAGCACCCTGATAATTTCTCTGTTGGGTAGATACAGCCATTCATAGGTGAATGGTAGAAACAGTAGAAGTAATGCTATCTTCTATTTCATCATGATTCCCAGTTCAAAGATGAATGTCGCACTGTGAAACATATTGTCTTCTCATCCTGGCCAGACCAGAGGACACCAGAATCAGCCAAGATGCTCTTGCATTTGATTTTTGAGGTGGAGAAAATTCTGCAGGCTGCACAAAACTCAGGACCAATTGTTGTGCACTGTAGGTGAGAAATTCTTCTTATAGCTCCATAGTGTTGGAGGATGCTCAAGGGTCCTCGTTTTGAACATAGACCTGAAATCTCCATTCTGAACTGATGCAGCTACAGATCTGGTAAACACTTCTCTTGCTAAAATACTTGCAGACAGTGGTGAAACTGGCAAAGTGTATTTTCCAGAAGCCTCTAGGTTTCAGCGTATAAGAAATGGAATTCAGCAAAATGACTTGATTGGAGGGGGATGGACAAATATATTTCTGCACCCTTCTCCCAAAATCTAGCCTTCATAACCCCAAAGCTGCAATCTGACATAAATTTGTTGTTCTATCTAGTGCAGGCATTGGGCGGACAGGCTGCTTTATTGCTACCCAGATCGGATGCCAGCAACTAAAGGACAAAGGAGAAGTAGATATTTTGGGAATTGTCTGCCAGCTACGCATAGACAGGTATGGATGAAGTGCAGTATATAGACCAAGTTCTGAGAGTATTTTATGAAAAACTGAAGCAGTTGTGGTTTCTGGTGGCCCTCTGCTGTGGCTATCTAGCTTAACTTTTTGTTTTGTTCATAGTATCCACTTAACAATATTCTCTAAGCAAGTTGAATATATCAAAACTTCTACAACATGCCATAGTACCTACTTTGAAGCTACCTGGTAGATGTAGAGTTTCCTAAGCTGAAAATATGATAATACGAAAGTAATTAAATTAGTTGGTACAGTATTCAGACAAAATCACAACAGCCATTAATGCTTTGATAACAAGACAGTTTATGGTGGGATGTGTGTCCCAGGCATGTTTGTAAGAAGCAGAATAGTGTCCACAGTTTGGTACTGCCAATGGCACCTTTTCAGTAAATACACAGAATTTTACTGTTATAGCTTTAAATGTGATACGAGCATGTATAGCAATGTAAGATACATTATTAGTGCTATCTGTACTGTGTTTCAATGCTTCATGATAGAGTTTCAGGGCATAATGGAGCAAAATGTATACTATACAGTGCCAAGACAAATGCCTGCAAATCTTTACATATCAAATACTAGAAGACATTAAAGAATGCACTCTTTCATTCTACATTGGGCCATGATGTGTTAGAGGCCCAGCCAGACATCCAGGTTAATTTATTATCCTTTATTCCGTGACCCAAAAGAAAAGTAAGCCAGCATAAATTGCACTCTGTCTCTATTTTCCCTCAATAATAAGGCTGGTGAGTGATGCTGTCCTTACTGTTTGAATGCAGGACAAGTAAGGAGAGCACCTGGTACCATGCATCGCCCTGCATCCATATCCACCATACCCACCTGCCATCAGGAAAAACCACCATCACTCTCCTTAACATGAGATTGAGTAGGGATGGGCCAATGTAGATAGGTGATTAGAATGGCTGGTTTAACCACCTTTCAAGTTGCCTGGCTAACCTCTGTACCTGTCAACCTATTTCTAAATATGGTTCTTATGCTCTTCTGAAAGAGTACTAAACTCATGTCCCCAAATAGTCTTCCTGTTAGGTCACTGGTGCAAAGGGACATGATGAAGCATGAGGGAGCAACTGGTAACAATCAAGCTTGGTCCTTGACTAGGACTGCAAGGGAATGGCATTAAGTGGCTATTGTGAGCAGCACTCAGAAGTAGCTAATGGAATAGCAAAACAGCAAAGGAGAAGGTAAATACTGCCATCTCATCCCAAAGTAATAAAAATAGTAAAAAAAAATACAGCCACGCAATCCCACTTCTCAGCAGAAGCCGCAGAAAACCTGCAATGCATAGATGGCAGAAGATGGCTTTCTCTCCTGGTGTAAATGGACCTTCTGAGCACCACAGGAATAGCTGACTCTTGAGAGGGTAGTCCTTTTTTTAACACAGGTCTAGCACTCTTTTGTAAGAGTATTAAAACTGCTTTGGAATGTACAGTCAGCTATTATGTAGGCAGATGCCTCTATGGATGCCAGGTGTTTGGTTGGGTTGTAGCCCAAACTAGAAGGGTCATTGAGGGCAGAGCTCAGCAAAGACTAAAGTGGCCAAAAGGAGCTAGATAAATGTCATCGGCAACATGATCGATAAAGCATGCTAGATAATGTGCACATCAAAATTTGAGTCAAGAGAAGATGGAAAGCCCTAATACTGAAACAGTTAAAGACTACTGTATTTCAATCTGCCTCAGCTATGGATTGGAAATGAAACAAGGCAAAGACATGGGGGCAACTTTTCTTCAAGACCCCATTGCTGTTGCTTCCTAGCACTGTCTCAAGCAGACTTTGCAGTGACACTGCTCCCTCTTTCCCATAACATGGGCCACAAGTACTGAATACTGTACTTACTATTTGCAATCAAACTAGAAATAACACACTTACCACTGCCACCTTTGTGCACATCAAAGGATTTACTCACCTTGCAATAAGTTCTGATTAGCTTTGGTTAATATTCCATCTTTCTTTTCTTAGAAAGTTTGAATTATCACCAGGAATAAGCTATTCTTTAGGGAATTTCTATACCTCCTTAGAAAACTTTTAGTTACCAATTAAGTTTAATTTAACAACTTTTCTGGTAGGAGGTCCCAACACTGGAAAATATCATAAGCATTTAGCTAAAAGGTTTGTGTAATTAAGCATCTTCAGTATCTAAGTAAGTGTTGTTCTATGGTATGACTAAAATACATGCAAGAAACAATAGAAATTAAACTATAACACCTATAAACAGTATTACAAATAGCCTGAAGCAATATGACTTTATAAGGAATACAGAGAATATTGCCTATCCAGTAAGATTTTTTAAGATAGTTCCTGATGTCTTATATATAAAATAAATAGATAATGTCAACTCTTCACTTTGCTCTTCCAGGGATTATTAAAGGCTATATCTAAGTTACAGTCAATAGTCATATTAATAAGCCTTGAATGAAGGATGATTTTGACCTGATAAAAATTCTCAGCAATTCTAACTTTAATGATGCTTCCTGGTCTTTACTAGTGCCATTTTAGTTTGGTTCAATAAGTTTTAAACGTCTTCATCATGGTTTTCAGTCCTCATTATTTAACACACAGATGTTCTATTTTACTGTACAAGATTTGTTGCAATTTCCTGAACAGGCACTTGCATTTGAATTGTTTTGCAAAGTGCATGTAATTCTCAGTCTGCTTTGTAGGGTGCTCTGCTGTAGTCTACATAGACTGTAAATGATCTAAGATTCCCACTGTTTGCAAAACAAATTTATTGTTCTTCCCAGTGCCTACACATTTAAATAGATTTTCTTTGCATTACAGAGGTGGAATGATACAAACCAGTGAACAATACCAGTTTATCCATCATACACTTGCCATGTATGCCTCACAGCTTCCTGAGTTCACAGACAACTAATCCATCATCATTATCCAGTAGCAAGAGGAACTGTTTATAACTTGATACTTTGCTTGGAAGAGCCTTTTTCTGATAGCAAGATAGTGAAATATTTATATTTCAACCATTTGAAGTATATAGCTCATACAAGAACTATTTGGTTGTTGGTTTCATATAAAGGGAATTTAGCTGGATGGAGACTTTTAATTTCATTTCTTTAATGTTTTGAACTTCCTGTGTAACTTTTGTAAAAATAATTTTCATTTCAAGTCTATTAAAATACTGTTCTGTTAACCATCTAGAATATATATGATATTTAAAATTACTGATCCCAAAGCAACTAAAATTTAGACCCAATGGATTAATCTTATTGCAAAAAAGTAAAGAGGTTGCATTTTGAAGCGACAGAAAGCTGGCTTCAGCTGTCAAGATTATTCTGTCTCAATATTTCTAATCTGAAAAAGCCTTTGCTGGACCTAACTGTACTATACAATTTTTGTTCAGTCTAAAACTTCAGCTTTGTGAGAAGGTGGTTGGGCTATGGCTACAGAAGCCCTGGAAGAAACTGATTATCTAGACCTCCCTCAGTCAGGTTTCAGTGTGGGACATAGTGCTAAAAGAATATTGGTCATGTTTGTTGATGATGTCTGGGGGAGCCAGGATGGGGATACTGCAGCCAACCTGGTTCTTGGTGGGTTTTGATGCTGTCACCCATAGTTTCCTTCAGGCTTACTTGCAGGGATGAAGAGTAGGGGCATTGTGTTACAATAATTCTCCTTCTTTTTCTGTGGTCAGGTCCAGTTGGTGTTGATGGAAGGGGGGAGGGATCAAGTCTGTGGCCCCAAATGTGTGGGGGCTCAAGACTATCACCTCTTTGTTTAACATCTAAATAAGGCTGTTGGGCGAGGTCAAGCATCAGTTTGGAGTCAGGTATCAGCAGTATGCTGATACCCAGCTATACATCTCAACCTCAGGTCGACCAGGTGATGCCGTCAAGGTCTTTTCCTAGTGTCTGGAGGCTGTGGATGTTCTGGATGGGGAGCAAAAGGTTCAAGCTTGATCCTGACAAGAATGAGCGGTTATGGGTTTTGGATCCCCTGGACCAGGGACATTCCATCTTTAGTCCTGAATAAGGTTGCACTTCAGAACTGGTGCATAATATGGGGGTTTTCTTGGAGTCACAGCTCCTGCTTGAGGAGCAAGTAGCAGCTATGGCTAAGAAGGCCTTTGCACAAATCTGTCTTGTGTGCCAATTGCACCTCTACCTGGACCAGATAGTCCTTCAATCACTTTATCATCTCACATATGGACTCTTGTAATGCAGTCTACATAGGGCTGCCCTTGAGAAATACTCAGCACCTGGTCCAGAATGCATCACTATGGGCAATTATGGGTATGTCACATCATGCCCATAACCTTTGCTTTGTGAGCTACATTAGTTACCATAGGCCTCCAGATACAATACATGGTGCTGGTTATCCTGTATGTTCCAGGTCCATTAAGTGGTATCATATAGTGAAATTAAGAAATATGCCTTTCTGTCACAGCACCTGCCCTCTGGAACAGCATTTCCCCTGAGACTTGTCTGCCTTCACCCTGTCTGTGTTGAAAGAAGCCTTTAAAATCTGGCTCTTCCCCCAGGTCTTGGGTTAGACTGGGTTGCAGGTCCTGTGGGTTGTATTATTTTCAAATGAATAGTCTTCCTTTCTCCAGATGCCTGCGATTTTATTTTTATTTTTTATAATTATTTCATTATTATATGCTGCCCAGAGTTGCTATAGAGTTAGGTGGCCTTATACATTTAATTAATTAATTAGTTTGTATTCAGTCATAACATACCGACTGATTTAAGTAAGGTGCTTTACATGAGAAAGTGAATCCTCCATGGAAATGCATGCAATGACGTTTAAATGTAGTTAACTTGTAAAATATTCAGTCTGTAAGCATTAACACACAATAGGTTTGTTGAATGTACTACTGGCCTGCTAATGTTATATTCAAATGGATGAGTCCACAAAGTAAGCATATTATATATGCCTAGGTAAAGATGGAAAACCTATAAGATATTTCTCTCCATTCCCTGTTTTATATAAATTAGATGCTCTGTAACTAATCAGCTAAGCCTAAGATACATAGGAAGTTGCCTTAAAATAAGGGAAAATGCTAATCCCATTTGCTCAGCATTGGTAATATTATCTGAAATGTAGACTCCAACTTCCCCAGCCATATTTTCATAAGCATCCAGTAAAAACCACAGTCACATTTTACAAGTCATGTCATCATGCAAATGTTGCAGATTATGTACAGTAGTTTATATCGTTTGCACAGTGATATTATGGTGTGAATGACATCACTTGCATTCATTGCACATGCCTAGCCATATCTGGAGGGCTTATGCATGCAGAATAAATGTTCTACCTCTGAATTGTGTTTTTTATTATGTTTTCTGTCATAGTGGAAAAAGTAAACCATGTTTGCTAAAAGGACTAAAGTTGTGCTGTATCCTTTCTAATCTTTCCCACCAAGGCCAGTGACCTAAGTATAATAAATATTTTGCATGCATGAATCTTAAACATTCCAGTTTAAAGCATAAAAATGTAGTCACTCACTTCTCTTTATCTGAAGAATGTACTAAGGAAATTATCCTCCAACCTCATCAAACTGAAGAGTCATTCAGAAAAGACAACTTAGTTAATTGTGACTGAAATATTTTCTTACCACTTTTGCATGTGTTTCTTTTCCTGAAATTTATCCTAAAATGAAGCTATGTGTTGTCAGCTTCAAGCATTCATATGGCTTTGGAAATGTATTTGTAATGCTTATTTTTCTTTGAATTTAGGAGCAGTTACCAGTAACAGTGGTTATCTTATGCTGGTCATGGATAAAAGCAGCACATTTCAATATACATACTGCTTAGAGAAGATATTATTTATTTACCATAAACTTGTGAGGGTTTATACATAAATGCTTTGTGAAAGTGCTCAGAGAAGCTGGAACAAGGAGAAAAGAAAGGAGGAGGAAGAGCGGAAGCAGGAGCAGGAGGAAGAAGACACTGGGACAAGCATTTCACAAAAAACCAAAATTTCCTCATTCAGAATAAATTCTGCCACAGCAATGGATTCAGTTTATTGGTGTGAACATGTACAAATTTGGAACACGTGCATTCTTCTGTGTAGAGAGGAGAAATTACATTAGCAATCTCAGAGCCATCATAGGTGCACCATATTTTCCAACATGATTTATCATTTATATAATCCATCTATTTTATTACAGATTACAAGGAGATAGGTCCCAAGAGTTTGCCATTTAAAAATGGATTGAGGGGAGGCAACAAGTGAAACAATGATGAAAGGAATAAGTGTAAACAAGAAAAAAAAATCATAGGTTTCTTGCAAATATATATCCCTAGGTCTAGTTACAGGACAGGGTTCATTGTGCTAAACCATAACTGGCTAGATCTGTACAATCCTTAAGATAAGCTCTAAGCCTTGATTTATGAACCACAATGAATGGTTACACACATTGCACTAAACCAAAATCACTGGTTTAGCACAATGTAAGTTACAGTTATCCCAGCTTTAAATTAGTATAATGTTTGTACAGTAGCAGCTGCAGCTGAGATTAGAACTGATAGAAACTTTAAAAAGTGCATAAAATGGTTTTACAAATATTAAGTATAATATTCCTTGCTTGATTTTAGCATTGTATGAACCTAGGCATTGTGGTATAAACCATGGCTTATAACTCAGCATTGTGTGTGTGAACCCATCCATGGTGACCTCTTCACACACTATAATTAAAACAACCATAACTTAGAGCAGTGTTGTCCGAACTTGGCCACTCTAAGATGAGTGGACTTCAACTCCCAGAATTCCCCAGCCAGCATGGCTG